AGAAATAAATATACATGTAGTTGCAAACGAGCGCAATAGCTTCACAATTTCACCATATTTAAGCTTTTTCGTGAAAATACCGCTACGTAATTTTCTATTTTAGACATAAATATCTCTCGACAGTTTGTTTATATCATTTGCATTGAATTTTAAGTGAAACTGTGTACCATGATTGCAAATAAGTGAATACCCAACAGACGTCTGTATGGTACCCATATAAGACATACACAAAGGCCACCGGAGGAACACGTCGCCAGAACACTCACGTTCATCGGCCAGACGATACCCCATCACGGGAGGAGTGAAGGAGACGAAAAAACCGTAAACCAACCAACTACTGGACGATTGTCTCTTGAGTTAAACTTCCAGTGTAAATTCTATAAGCATAAATAAAAAGTTTAAGAGACAGACAGTGTTTAATTTTCTTTTTAGACAGAAACATTGACATTTCAAACTCGACTATTAATACGTCTAGAATCAATAACGTAACGGTAGCACAGTGGTAAGTTCCCTGCTCTCAGCTACAAACTTCTTGGGTCGAATACTCCTGTATTGTTTCGAAAGGACGCATTTAAACATGAAACAATTAAATCGTTGGGTGTAAAAGTTTTAAACAAACACGGGACCTTTTAATTAAACTTTTTAATAATTTCTCGAGAACATGAAAATAAGTAGGAAAGCTTATGTTGCTCCAAATACAACGTTTTCAAGAGTACGTCATCAAATGAAATGCTACCACATCACAACTGAATCATTAACACATGCCTACGAGAGACACACATGCAAGTACTCACAACTCTAGTGATACAACAATTTTTTACAGCATTTATGATGATTTTTTACACATATCTAATACATTGTAATAGAATATATTTCAGTAGATATTAACATATATAATATGTTGATCTTTCAACTTTTGGCATTGTGTTACTTATCCAAACTTATTGATCAAACGGAATCTAGATACAGGTCAATACCATGCGTGTCTATCATACCTGGTACGTTGTGTAACCCATACAAGGGGGGAGACATCTCAATTTGCTTTGTAATTTGTAATGAAACATTTCATCTCAATTATCAATGAAAGCAGTTGGAAGATAGAGAAGATGGACAGACAATAAACAACAGTAAGCTGAGGTGACACATATCCCCACGTTTATTTCAAAGTGGCAAAGTTTGACCTTTTACCCACAAATCTCATCCAATGACCACTGGTCAGGTCTGGACGAGCCACCACACCGCCACATTCAGTCTTCCAGATAGCATGCAAAACAGGTTTATAAAAACTGCTTTCTGAACAAAACCAAACTATTTCCTTACCGAATTCACTTGACAATCAACCAGAAAAAATGATATCCACTCAGTTCCCTTTACTGGTGTGAATGGAAGTGTATACAGTCTTTGTGTGGGGAGAAACAGGACATTGGAGAAAACTCACACAATAAGGATTTTTTATGTCAAAGAAATGGAATCTCAATCACCTTGGTGATAGATGTTCTACAAAAGGTTCACAGAATCTGCCCCACCAAATCAACAACTCTGCTTTACAATTTTCTTTCAACTTTAAACCTGATTATTAATATTGAATGAGTAATTTCTTAAACAGAAATAAATTAAAGATTTAATCAACATTGCTTTAATTGTCTTCAAAATAAAATTTCAATTATCTTATACCTTTGTCATTTGTAAAAACAATTATCATATTAATTTTTCGATGTCATTTTCTTGGAAGTTTATCATGAATTGAAAAAGAAATAAAACAGGAATTCCAGGAGTGGTACATGATACCCCATCATCATCATCATCATCGTCAAATGATTATTTTACAACAAGAAAGGGAAGAAAAGTGTGGTTAAATATCTGATAAACACATTAAGGTTATCACTACCAGTTGTGAACTGGTGGAGGAAACCAGAGTAAACCATCGAGCATCAATGGTGATAACATTACGACACGATTCGTGAAAATGACTCATATTATTGTTCCATGGTTTTTACAAAGGCCATTACTCAATAAATAACGGGTAAGTAAATTTGGTTATCAAATTTGACCAGGCTATGGTGGTAATGAACCTCTCTATAAAGTTTTAGGTGCATCTTTTAGGAATTACTGGAGATAACAACGAACTCTGTTTAAGTAATTGAAAAAAGGGGCCATAACTCTGTAAATTACCTGCCAAAATTTGCAGTTATCCAATTTGTCCTTATTATAATGGTAATGAACCTCCATATCATGTCTGAAGTTGATCCATTGAAACTAGTAAAGATATCGAGCAGACATTGTTTTGATAATGGAATAAAGGGTAATAAATCCATGAATTACACTGAAAAAATGTGGTTATCAAACTTTTCCATGTGATCATGGTATTGAACCTTCCAATCAATTATGAAGTTGACCTGTTTAAAAGCTAATTTAGTTACTGAGCTGACACTTTTACCATAACTGAATAAAGGGTCGTAAATCCAGAAATTTCATCAGAAAGTTACTGTAATTGAAACTACTTGGATATCAAGCAGACAATTTCTGAAAATTGTAGTGATCACACTTGTTAGAGCTATAATGGTATTGAACCTTTCTGTGAAGTTTCCAGTTGATCCGTCGAAAGCTATTTCCGATATGAGCAGACACAATTACTCTGGCTGTTGACATGTGTTAAATCCAGGAAATGTTTCGTGTCTTTAGGTTGTTATACATTTGTAACAGAGGTCAATATTTATTTCAATGCCTCCACTAGGTTTCGAACCCAGGACCCCTGGCTTACTAGTCTTATGCTCAACTAATCAAGCTAAAGAGAATTTCTCTCTTGACAAGTGGTATGTTGTGGCTAGAATTTACCAGGGTTACACAGCTAAAGAGAAATTCTCTCTAGCCGAGTGGTATATTGTGGCTAGTATTTACCAGGGTTACACAGCTAAAGAGAAATTCTCTCTAGCCGAGTGGTATATTGTGGCTAGTATTTACCAGGGTTATTGTGGCAGTATTAAAGAGAAATTCTCTCTAGCCGAGTGGTATATTGTGGCTAGTATTTACCAGGGTTAAACAGCTAAAGAGAAATTCTCTCAAGCCGAGGGGTATATTGTGGCTAGTATCTACCTAGGTTACATATTCACCACAATATCTTTAACCACAAAGTAATCATGGATATGGATGTTTTCCTAAATGTCTGGAATAACTTAAACTCCCTATTAGCAACATAAATAGCCACACAATCAAGTATATATCACAACTGATTAATGCTACAAAATGATGATTAATATACAAAATTATGAGATTTAAAATGTTCATAGCAAAATGGATATAACAGATTACAACAAATATCCTCTTATTTATCTGTCATCCTGTTGGATCAGTGCTAAATATGAGACTGAAGTATGCTGTTATCGGTACATATCGAGCACTCCTTTACACAACCAATCTAACTAGGAATCCATGGATTTCCTATGCAGTTCAATGTTTATGTAGAATATTTTCTACCAAAGGGATATAATCAAATTAAGTTTGAAAATATCAGTATTGAGATTTACTTGTAAGTATATTCGTGTTTCTATAGTACATCGTTACTTCAAACCTTTACTGGATACTTAGTTTCTGTTTGATATTTGTAAGACAACTGCTTGGTTCCATGGATTATTAATATGAAAGACTGTCAGTATATCGCTCTCTAAAAAATACAATGATCTATCATACTTTCAATTACTACCATCGGCGATTTTCATTTAGAACAAGTTAATACTGTTATCAATCTCCCTATAAAACAGAATATGATAACTTAGTGAGGCATACTAAAATACTTTCTATAAGTTATAAAGAATTATTCCAATTAAATATCAAATGCCATGAAATGAAAAATTACCATATCTGTACTATAGAAATATTTATTGATGTTTTACATTCAGTAATTTCATCATATGCAAGTTACATCTACCAGATATAGAAAAACACAAATCACATTACAACCTTGATTTAACTGAATAAATGATGAGAGAACTGAAAGTTAATTAGATCATCCATAACAGATTATTCACCACAGCATTCTTAACTTTATAAACAAAGGTAAGTGACAATTGTTGCTTGTACGTACATGTAGTTGGGTAATGGATAGCAAAATTACAGGCAATTCTAAATATCTTACTTTTCCTCACTTGTCCATTTGACCAGAATCAGGCAAACGTTAGAATGGCCATGTTAAAAAAGAAAATTACTAGAAATTTCTGGTCTGTCCTGCTTTTCTGAGGTTATTTCTTAACTTCTACTTCTATCTGTTACCGTTCCGTAATCTTTACTAATCTTAACTCTTCACACTTGGCTTTCGGTATGTAGGACACCGAAATAGAAAATCAGAACATGATATGTTCTACTTCGCATGAAAACCATACAAAAGCTTTCAAATTTCTGAGTGTATTGGCAGCACATAGATGAAAGTAGATTCAAGACAGCATATGTACTTTGAGAGTACTTATTCTCAGTACTAAACACAAAGATTTAATAATATGCAATTAATAACCAATGTCTAATTAACAGTTGATTGTTGTTCTGAATATGACCTGTACTTGGATGATCATACATAGACATTAGGATGTTCCAGGTTTGGTTACGACAACACATGTACATAGACAGAAATTACATATAAGCTCATTACCAAACTTACTATTAAACTTTACATTGGTTTAATATTTAACAAAATCTAATTAGCTGTAAAGTATCAGCTGATATTGTAATTGAAGCCATGCTAATAATATGCAAGGAAAAGTATGCCTAAATCTCCAAACTAAAGTCTGTCACAAAATCCTAACACTACAAACTGACAGAATCTGTTTCCATATGCCATATCAACAACACCGGGCTTGATTTACAGAACTGTTCACAATCTAAACCTGTATATAAGTACTATATGGTTAATTGGTTGGTACATTTAATTTCAATCACAAACAAAAATGACAATAATAACTAGAAACATAAGTATATCAGTGATATCGATTTCAATGATCAATTAACCAGAAATAGCACATGACTCCAATGTTTGATTTTAAACATTTATCAATTTGAATTTTAAATACGTTCTTTCTGAAATATTTCCTAATTTTTATTCAAACAAAGCTAAAAGAAATAATAATTCTAGTTACCATTATTTATAATAATGATAACAATAGTGACTTCTAAATCATGCAGTCTATTTCTAACAATAGTAAATAGCATATCAGTTTTTTCAAAGACATTTTTTTGTTCATGTTAGTTTATTTTGAGTTGTAATATGTATCATGTATTTGATTCACTTTTTGAAAAAAACTGGCACCAGATGCTTTGAATATGCAGCTGAACCACAGACCTTTGATAATATTGTCATTTACAAGCTTAGCTGACTGAGAAACAAATTCCTAAAATCATTAAAATTAAAATGGAAGTGTAAACAGAAACTTTTTGATACAAATATCTATAATTTTCATTATGTTTACTTTGATCAACTATCATACATGATAGATTTGACGGTAACATTGACTTTATCATCATGAAATAACAATTAAGAATTATAAAACAATCCCCACTGTATGTTATACTCCAGCGTAAATTGTTTTTATGTATGTGTCTGAATTAGGCAGCAATTAGAGGAACCAAGAAATCTCACATTACATGTACATCATTAAATAAGTCACTGTCTGCACCATGCTTATTTGGTTAGGAAATTTAGGAGTTATGAAATCAAACTTTGATAATTCTTATTGTATACACTGATTTTCCTGCAGATATTTTGGGTAATTAAATGTCAAATGACATATCCCAGGTCACTCAAATGTCAAATTACATATCCCAGATCACTCAAATGTCAAATTACATATCCCAGGTCATTCAAATGTCAAATTTCATATCCCAGATCACTTCAATGTCAAATTACATATCCCAGATCACTCAAATGTCAAATTACATATCCCAGATCATTCAAATGTCAAATTTCATATCCCAGGTCACTTCAATGCCAAATTACATATCCCTGGTCACTCAAATGTCAAATTACATATTCCAGGTCACTCAAATGTCAAATTACATATCCTAGGTCACTGGAATGTCAAAGGACATATTCCAGGTCACTCACATGTCAAATTACATATCCCAGGTCATTAGAATGTCAAATTGCATATCCCTGGTCACTCAAATGTCAAATTACATATTCCAGGTCACTCAAATGTCAAATTACATATCCTAGGTCACTGGAATGTCAAAGGACATATTCCAGGTCACTCACATGTCAAATTACATATCCCAGGTCATTAGAATGTCAAATTGCATATCCCTGGTCACTCAAATGTCAAATTACATATTCCAGGTCACTCAAATGTCAAATTACATATCCCAGGTCACTGGAATGTCAAATGACATATTCAAGGTCACTCAAATGTCAAATTACATATCCCAGGTCATTGGAATGTCAAATTACATATCCCAGGTCATTCAAATGTCAAATTACATATCCCAGGTCACTTCAATGTCAAATTACATATCCCAGGTCACTGGAATGTCAAATGACATATTCCAGGTCACTCAAATGTCAAATTACATATCCCAGGTCACTCAAATGTCAAATGACATATTCCAGGTCACTCAAATGTCAAATTACATATCCCAGGTCATTCAAATGTCAAATTACATATCCCAGGTCACTTGAATGTCAAATTACATATCCCAGGTCATTCAAATGTCAAATTACATATTCCAGGTCACTCAAATGTTAAATTACATATCCCAGGTCACTGGAATGTCAAATGACATATTCCAGGTCACTCAAATGTCAAATTACATATCCCAGGTCACTCAAATGTCAAATTACATATTCCAGGTCACTGGAATGTTATCAGATACTCAGGATAAGCCTGAGTATCATTAAAAATGATGTACATCCCAGGATTGGCTGGAGTGTCCACAACTGAGTCATACAGTATGTGTGGTGCCTTCTTAAGAGGTGGAACTCTCATGCCACGTTTTCCTTGTGTAAACTCTCCTGTTATCACCTTACACAGGTACATCCTCTGGTGATTATTTAGGTCAGGCCTGGCATATGTTGTGGAGGCAGAGTAATTAGCATTGACAGCAAAGTAAACTCCATCTCCAAATGCAGTAGCTGTAAAGAAATATGGCTGATGAAATACATTCAGTTTTGAATTGTTCCTAAAATATTAGATTTAGTTTATACAGTGTCAAATTGATTTTACCACAAGCACATACACTGCATCATTAGATAATTTACATATGTATCAACTACATTTCTGGAAAATATTGTTTTTCAAGGTCTGTTTACACAAGTAGTTGATAGAATATGATGGACTTACCATTTTTACCACAATAGCTGCGGTTAAAACCATGCGAGTTGATACTGTCTACTGTCTCAGCAGCAGTTCCATGCCAAAGCATTTTCTCATTTTCGGAAATATGAGCATTTTCTGTGTCTACTAATCTTTTCTTGGCAATGTATTGCTGATAAAGGGTTCTGTTTTGTATCCTCTCAATCTAGAACCAGAATTTAATAAAGGAATTAAATGATCAATAATCTTATCACAGGATATCTAATGTTTTAACAAGTATGACTGAATATCAATGTCCTCTATAATACAAGCAAAGTAATGATACATGACAATAAACCATTAAATTTTCATTTTCTTAGAATACTTATTTACTTGCATAATAACTCTTTTAAAGAAAAATATGTCAAAAAAATCTTGGTTCAAACATAAAATAAATCTCTTCCAAAACCATTAGATAACCCAGAGGGATTTTTGTGCCCTCTATCATTTGGCCTTAAAATATTTCTTCTTTACAATAGTAACTTTTCCTTCTTTTATCTTTTCTCTTTCTTTTTTCTTTTTTTATTTTTTTGAAATTTGAAAATTTGAAATAGCAGTACATTTAATTATATTTAATTGTCCAATATAAGATGGATATCTGTCAGCATATTGTTTTCCTGATCAGTCCGACTATCAAAAAGCCACAACCAGTGACCACGGGATATGTAATACTTTGATGTTGAGAAAGATCCATCAAGTACATGTGATTCTCAAAACGCTCAGAAGCACTTGATGATTAACTTCAGTCTAGAAGAGGTTTGGCCACAACCAAACTTGCATAAACGTCCCTTTTTTTTTGTTCAAACAGAAAATTAGTAAATTTCAATGCAGCTCATACAGAGCAGTGTTCTGGTTAAGAAAACTAAAACGGTTACGCTGTATTATTACTGAAAGGTAGTATTATCAATAGTGACAGTATGATTTATATCAAATTAGTAATTTCCTATATCTCATTGAAAAATTGTACCTAAAACAAGAAGTCCATGGAGCATGCATCCCTCAATTGGATATTTAAGCTTCCACTTCAAAGCAATTTTATCACAAATACATTGTTACATTTTTCCGTAAGACGAGGAATTTTAATGCTTCATTCTTAACTGTATTTCCCCTATTGAGTCCCACTCCTTTGCTCCTAGGAAGTTCAAACTCACCATTCACACAAAATCATGTGCCTTTCACCTCAGAATGTTTCGTACCAAATTTTGGCTAAATACCTTCACCTAAATAGAAAAATTATTCCTACCATATCGGGTTGCAACTGTTTAAGGGAATGGGATGTCAGATCCACCATTTATACAAAATTGAGTCCCTTGAGACCAAATTTGGATAAAATCCAATCATTTTACAGAAAAAGAAAGATTTGAAAGACTTTGCTCTATTTACCCTACTTGGCCTGCTAAGGGACCCAGACCCACTGTTTGAACAAAACTGATTTCCCTTCAAGGATGATTTTTTGAACAATTTACTATGTTTCCTCTGTTTTGTCCTGTTTCTTGGGCCTCTGAGAGTCAATTATTCAAAAATTAGTCCTGTTGCCCATAGGATGCTTTGGACAAATACATTTGCTCAGCCACTGAAGACAAGTAGCAACTTACAGAAAAAAGTTTACAAACCATCACACAATTGACACCACACCATGATCTAAGTTCACCAGTCCTTTCAAATAGGTGAGTTGAAAATTTTAGATTCTTGGAAGAAATATTTTAGAAAAAAGAAAACATTGCTACAATAAACTTCTTTTTTTTCCTCACCAGAGTGGCAATATGTTGAATAAAAAAATAACATTAATTACATATACAGTATCAGAAGTGTTCGCGGGAAACAGACCTTCTTTCCTGTATTCATGGCAATATGTTTTCTCAGCAAATTTCCTCTTGTTAAAGTGCACCAGAATAATGCTGCTATGCTAAGAAAGCTAAGGAAACAGCTGTCACTCACCTTTATCACTGTTTTTGATCCAACTGACGCCAGAAACTGTTTTTGAACTTTAGTAAATGTAGGGTCAGATTGTGGTATAACTACCACACTGAGGTTATCTTTATCATTCACAGAAGACCAATCAGATGGTGCCTCAAATGTTGTATCTGAAAAAATACCAATCATTTCAACATCCCTTGTTTTCCATCAAAATTTAACAACAATATGATCTTCAACCCATTGTTTTTCATTAATGAAAATTTTGCATCACTCAAATACATGCACATTTCACATCACACAACTTCAAACTAATCTAATCACGACAAACAAAATTTTAAAAACTAAAAATCATCTTTAACTAATGATCAATGCTCGTTTATATGACAAATTTGACCCCATGACCTTAAATATGGGTAAAAGTAAATTCACTAATTAGGAATTTGTCAGTCTTCATCCCTAAAACCTACTTGCAAAATATCTTTATTCAAAGTCTCATTCTTTTGGTTAATCAATAGTTGTTCAGGTGTTTTATAAAGTTTGACCTCTGTGGTCTCCAATATTGGTCAAGGTCATTTCTTTTCAGAAACACTATTTGATTTTATTGCAAGAATCAACCAAATCAATATTGTGATTCTATGCATTTTGGTTAACCTGAAGAGAACAATGAAATGTTTTAACAAAGTAGACTACTGTGACCTTGAAATGGGTCAAAGCCATTTCTAAACCCATTTGTTTGACTGTTGCCAGCTATCATCAAGCCAAATATCATGATATTCTCAGCTGTTAATCAGAAAAATACATTTGGCTGTTTGCTGTGACCTTGAATATATGTAGAGGCAACTCCTGTTTTACAATCTTTGTCAGGTTCATCCAAAAAACTTTCATTTCAATTTTGATGATTCTGGATTATTGAGAAAATTATTTGTTGCCTGAAGGAACGAGAGGGATTTCTTCACCAACAATTGTTTGATCTTTCTTTCGTCTTAAGAAATTGGATCTTTTCACTTCTTTTTTTCTTTGTTTTTGCTGTTTATTTCATGAAATTTGAAAAAATCTTTAAATTTCAAATTCTAGATGGAAGCTTGTAAAACATTTGATTTTTCAGGTCAGACCAAAAATCAAAAAGGCACACCAAGGGATCAAGGGAAACCTATATTCAAACTAAAAGAAATCTGAGAAAGATCCAATTACAAGCTGGTCAACTGTAAGCCATTTCATTTTTCAATGACAAGTCCACAAGTCCAAAATCACATCAGCAAAAACTATTAAGGGACAAAAGGGAATTTATACATAAAATCTGAGAAAGATGTTTTCAGCAGTATCAAAGAAATAACAAAAAAAATAGTATTACGAAATTTAAGAAAGATTCATGCCATACTTCTCCAAAAGTATTAAATATTAACTGTCAAAAATCAAGAAAGCAATGGATCAGTGAAAAATTGGTTTATCCATATCTAGGAATAAATCAGAAACTACACATCAATTTGAGAATGATCCTTTGAATCCTTCTTCAGAAATAGTGATAACAAATTATTACTGTCAAAATCCAAGATGACTGTCTGTCAGCCATATTATTTTTCAGATCAGTCCCAAATTCAGATGATGTACAACAAGGGAACAGTTTGAACCTTCATACAACATTTGACAATGATTCTTTTAATGAAGGGGGCTAATTACAAGTTCATTGCTTGAAATGTCTCTAAACAATTATAAAATGGATTACTTAAAATGAACCATGCTAAAATAAACGTTGTAATATATTTATAATCAGTGAAGCATCACTTTAGTATACATTATGTATTGTAATATATAATCAGTGAAGCATCACTTTAGTTATTTATTGTAATATATCTATAATCAGTGAAGCATCACTTTAGTTATCTATTGTAATATATCTATAATCAGTGAAGCATCACTTTAGTATACATTATGTATTGTAATATATCTATAATCAGTGAAGCATCACTTTAGTATACATTATGTATTGTAATATATCTATAATCAGTGAAGCATCACTTTAGTATACATTATGTATTGTAATATATCTATAATCAGTGAAGCATCACTTTAGTTATCTATTGTAATATATCTATAATCAGTGAAGCATCACTTTAGTTATCTATTGTAATATATCTATAATCAGTGAAGCATCACTTTAGTATACATTATGTATTGTAATATATCTATAATCAGTGAAGCATCACTTTAGTATACATTATGTATTGTAATATATCTATAATCAGTGAAGCATCACTTTAGTATACATTATGTATTGTAATATATCTATAATCAGTGAAGCATCACTTTAGTATACATTATGTATTGTAATATATCTATAATCAGTGAAGCATCACTTTAGTATACATTATGTATTGTAATATATCTATAATCAGTGAAGCATCACTTTAGTTATCTATTGTAATATATCTATAATCAGTGAAGCATCACTTTAGTATACATTATGTATTGTAATATATAATCAGTGAAGCATCACTTTAGTATACATTATTTATTGTAATATATCTATAATCAGTGAAGCATCACTTTAGTATACATTATGTATTGTAATATATCTATAATCAGTGAAGCATCACTTTAGTATACATTATGTATTGTAATATATCTATAATCAGTGAAGCATCACTTTAGTATACATTATGTATTGTAATATATAATCAGTGAAGCATCACTTTAGTATACATTATGTATTGTAATATATCTATAATCAGTGAAGCATCACTTTAGTTATCTATTGTAATATATCTATAATCAGTGAAGCATCACTTTAGTATACATTATGTATTGTAATATATAATCAGTGAAGCATCACTTTAGTATACATTATTTATTGTAATATATCTATAATCAGTGAAGCATCACTTTAGTATACATTATGTATTGTAATATATCTATAATCAGTGAAGCATCACTTTAGTATACATTATGTATTGTAATATATCTATAATCAGTGAAGCATCACTTTAGTATACATTATGTATTGTAATATATAATCAGTGAAGCATCACTTTAGTATACATTATGTATTGTAATATATCTATAATCAGTGAAGCATCACTTTAGTATACATTATGTATTGTAATATATCTATAATCAGTGAAGCATCACTTTAGTATACATTATGTATTGTAATATATCTATAATCAGTGAAGCATCACTTTAGTATACATTATTTATTGTAATATATCTATAATCAGTGAAGCATCACTTTAGTTATCTATTGTAATATATCTATAATCAGTGAAGCATCACTTTAGTATACATTATTTATTGTAATATATCTATAATCAGTGAAGCATCACTTTAGTTATCTATTGTAATATATCTATAATCAGTGAAGCATCACTTTAGTATACATTATGTATTGTAATATATCTATAATCAGTGAAGCATCACTTTAGTATACATTATGTATTGTAATATATCTATAATCAGTGAAGCATCACTTTAGTTATCTATTGTAATATATCTATAATCAGTGAAGCATCACTTTAGTATACATTATGTATTGTAATATATCTATAATCAGTGAAGCATCACTTTAGTATACATTATGTATTGTAATATATCTATAATCAGTGAAGCATCACTTTAGTTATCTATTGTAATATATCTATAATCAGTGAAGCATCACTTTAGTTATCTATTGTAATATATCTATAATCAGTGAAGCATCACTTTAGTATACATTATGTATTGTAATATATCTATAATCAGTGAAGCATCACTTTAGTATACATTATGTATTGTAATATATCTATAATCAGTGAAGCATCACTTTAGTATACATTATTTATTGTAATATATCTATAATCAGTGAAGCATCACTTTAGTATACATTATGTATTGTAATATATCTATAATCAGTGAAGCATCACTTTAGTTATCTATTGTAATATATCTATAATCAGTGAAGCATCACTTTAGTATACATTATGTATTGTAATATATCTATAATCAGTGAAGCATCACTTTAGTTATTTATTGTAATATATCTATAATCAGTGAAGCATCACTTTAGTATACATTATGTATTGTAATATATCTATAATCAGTGAAGCATCACTTTAGTATACATTATGTATTGTAATATATCTATAATCAGTGAAGCATCACTTTAGTATACATTATGTATTGTAATATATCTATAATCAGTGAAGCATCACTTTAGTATACATTATGTATTGTAATATATCTATAATCAGTGAAGCATCACTTTAGTTATCTATTGTAATATATCTATAATCAGTGAAGCATCACTTTAGTATACATTATGTATTGTAATATATCTATAATCAGTGAAGCATCACTTTAGTATACATTATGTATTGTAATATATCTATAATCAGTGAAGCATCACTTTAGTATACATTATGTATTGTAATATATCTATAATCAGTGAAGCATCACTTTAGTATACATTATGTATTGTAATATATCTATAATCAGTGAAGCATCACTTTAGTATACATTATGTATTGTAATATATCTATAATCAGTGAAGCATCACTTTAGTATACATTATTTATTGTAATATATCTATAATCAGTGAAGCATCACTTTAGTTATCTATTGTAATATATCTATAATCAGTGAAGCATCACTTTAGTATACATTATGTATTGTAATATATCTATAATCAGTGAAGCATCACTTTAGTATACATTATGTATTGTAATATATCTATAATCAGTGAAGCATCACTTTAGTATACATTATGTATTGTAATATATCTATAATCAGTGAAGCATCACTTTAGTTATCTATTGTAATATATCTATAATCAGTGAAGCATCACTTTAGTATACATTATGTATTGTAATATATAATCAGTGAAGCATCACTTTAGTATATGTTATCTAACTACATACCTATAATCTACAAATCTATATCTTCATTCTTTCATCATTCCTTTAATTTTAATGATATAGGTAATAATTTTGGACTCATACCTGCCATTTTGCACTTCCTGATAACCTTCACTCTATCGACAGGATCATTTTCCGGAAATTCTTCCAATGTACGAAAGTCCACTACATACATATTTCTAGCATTATCAGCAAATTTCACCTGATCTTTTTGGCCTTTGAATGCCTTCTCTAACAAAGCATTGATGTCTGGAGGATATTCTTCAAGTTTCTCTCCCACGCCTGTTACAAGCATGAAGTGCCACTGGACCATGTCTCCTATCAGGGCTGCTTCCTGTTCCTTCATTTTCCTTTTTTCGCAATCTCTGATCAACTTATTTAGCTCATCAGATGCATCACTGATATTCTCTAGAAGGCCATTCAGTCGTATTCTCCCGATACGTGTTTCAACTTTCACTTCAATACCATGAGCTTGAGCTAAATCATTTATTTGCTGTTCCTAAAGGAAAATAAGAAAATATAGTCAGGAATATATGGACAGGCCACGGTTTTACTTGAATTTGTTGAGGTAATAAAAGCCAATTGCATTCACTTTGGTAACTTAGCATAGATCTAAGTTGTTGGATCATAAGTTGAATGCCAATTAGTTTATCAATGTCACCAAATAACCAATGCCTACAAATTTTGTTTCAGCATCAAACTATGGATAGTGTTAAGAAAAAAAAGACAAAAGACCAGTTGGTCCTTCATGGAAGGAATTGTGATTTAGGGTAAAATCCAGCAAACACTGAAACATCCTTTTCATGGACATGGAATGCAATGGCTCATTGCCAAAATGGCCCTTTCATTCTGATATTTAACGACAGTTAAAGACATGAAATGTTAATTTTCAATAATATCCAAGTACAGTTTATAAGTATCAATATTTGTAATGTGAAGATGAGCATTTGCTATACATGTTAAAATAGATGTAAAAACAAGGAAGTAAATGTCATTTGCAGTACATTGTGTTATCTTCTGTGACATACAGTAAAGATTATGGAAATAGCATAAGTTCTACTTTAATGAATAAAATTAATACTCCCATGGATATCTCCAAATATTGACCAAACACTGTATTAAAACTACATAGTATGTTATGTTAAAAAACAAACATTTTAAGGATTTGATTTTTATTTTCTCAAGGGGGTATTTATATAAAACAAAACACAAATGCACAACATGGATTATATCTAGGTAAGAATTATTACAGTACAAATTCAAACCAAATGCAAACTTTGTACCAAACTGTTGGCAAGCTTACTGTTATTCCAGTGAGTCATTTAAACAGTGTCGTCAATAACATTCTTATCTATAGAAATGGTGACCTTGACCTTTGACCTTTGTACCTGAAAAGTAACCCCAAGCAAGCACTTTTGGTAAGGAAGCAGTGTGTGAGGTATGAGCTTATGATGAGCAAATTATTACAAAAAAATCCTTTGTGCAGATGATGGTGTCGACAACACCAACATAGTAATACCTATATGTCACCTTTGTCAAGCAAGAAAATAAGTATATATCTGAAAAACTAGATGTCATGGAGATGGAAACCATATTTAAGGGCCCTGCTGACTGCTGTTACACCTCCATAGGAAGGATTCACACATAGGTTATTGACTGCATGATATAACCCCTGCTGAGTAGATTCAGCCATACAATGACAACCCTTGCTAGAAAACTTTGAAAGAATTTGAAGAAAAAGTAATATAACCACAAATTTTACTTTGTGCCATACACAAGTACATTAATATCACAATACCCCAGTGAAAAGACAATTAGTGCAAGAGGGATAGAAAATGACAAGAAGTTAATTACTCTAAGACCTATAATATTGTATATTGTATCATGTAGGCCTGTCTGTCTACTGGAACAAATTTTATTATCCAAAGACTCTTTTGATAATGACTTTCTGTGAAAGTGTTTCTAAAGTTTATAATATTGAATATAAAGGTTAAACGATAGTGTCATGAAATAGAAATTGTGACACTAAATATAAACAGTGTCAATACATGCATACCATCAAAACTCATCCTGTACTGATAATTCTTATAAAGTTATTTACAGTGGGAAATAACCAATGTTATGCCCAAAAATACAACTTTTCTATGAAAATTACATTAAAATCTAAAAAAGATATTCGTCCCTAGGAAGAAATGCGAGACTCATTTTGGTAATTAAAACACCTTAAGATGCTCCCATTCATGAAGAGCATTTGATTATACCATATCTGGGTGTTGAAAAGAAGATTTTAGAAATTTAAGTCAATTTGACTCCTTTTGGCCCCTCCCATCAGCCCCTGGGGAGCAGTCAGGATCAAGATGGGCATAACATCTGGCCATCAACCTTCACTCATAATTCTGACCAAATTTGAAATATTTCCAATGGAAATTAAACAAATTATGCTCAAAAATCTAGTTTTCATATATAAACTACAGTAAATTTTACCCCCTCCCCATGGGGATATGCTAGACCCTGGGGCCATGAAACTCACAATTTTGGTACACCACCTTAAGATGCTTCCACTACCATATCTGGGTCTTGAGAAAAAGATTTTTGAAATCTGAGTCAATTTGACCCCTTTTGGCCCCGCACCTCAGGTCCCTGCGGGGTAGGGGACTGTATAATTCACAATTTTGGTTCATCTTAGACCAGGGAAGGTTTCTGCAAATTTTCATTGAAATGGGATCAGGGCTTTTTGAGCAGAAGTCGAAAGTGTTAAATTATTTACGGACGCACGATTCTGATTGTTTTTGGTAACAAGGATCAAGCTTACCTGTGACTTAATGAAGTTCTTGATCAACATGGACTAAGCTTACCTGTGACTTGGTGAAATTCTTGATTAACATGGACTAAGCTTACCTGTGACTTGGTGAAGCTCTTTATAATATCCTCCTGGAATATTTTTTCTCTGAAATTTTTCTCAATGACTGATTCCAAATCAGAAATGGCATCAGCTATCTTCCTCAGATTAGACCCATACACCATTATTGGGAAACGTGATAGGTCTCGATGCAGGATGTTGATTTTTGGATTCCATTCAAATTTGGTGCTTTTTCTTCCTTCAATGAGTTTGAAAAATATTACATCAGCACCAACCTCCCTTTAATGTATATACACAGTGTATACACTAATGTGTAGGCAAAGACAACCTACAAACTTTGACATCACAGGGTAGGGAATTTCCTTATGTAGCGTAATAGAAACTGTTGCATTTAAACATGTCATAATTTTTGATAAAAATTTAGTGGGCTATTGATGATGAAAAGCGTACACAGTTCACAACAATGACTTCCAATATTTTACGATAAGAAAGTGTTCAAGGAAAATAAAACATGGATCTGTGGACAGGGATACTACAAACTGAGTGTAAGAGTTTGGCTGGTCAGTGTGAGGCTTGCCAAGTGTTGGTCAGCCAAACTTGTACACTGGGGTTAAGATATACAGAACAATATCATTGGTATTTCATTAGCAAAAAATTGTGACAAATTCATTTTTGTACTACATAACCACATCATTTCCAATATGTTTTGATCAATCTTTGTCTATGTCACTCAAGATCATTCCAAATTCATCTCAAGCAAACACTTGATCAGATGGCATACTTAATTCTCTAATCAAACCAAAGCTATCTGTGCAAGTGAAAATACTGGTTATATAGGACACAGGGAACAATTCAAATTATCTTATAGCTGGTCATTATTGAACAATCAGTGATACTTTCAATGTTCAGTGTTTCAGTCTGATGTGTATTATATAGACATTGTGCTTGATTACTTCATCAGAGTAGTGGCAAATCAACCATATACTCCCATACATAAGAGAATCGGTAGAACCGAGGGATAATCCCAGAATGAATGCCACTTCCAAAAGGCTAATTATGCAAAAGAGAATTATGATTCTTGTACATTGCACTTCTCTTTATCGAGATCTATATGCCTATGAAGTTTCATCTTGATACCTCTTATAGTTTTTGTGATAGGCTGTGGGCAAAATTAGGGACGATGGATGAACGGACTGACCAACGGAAAGCAGTGACTATATGCTCTCCATTTGGGGAGCATAAAAATGTTCAATATCTATATTCCAAGTGTAAGAAAGAGAGGCCCTATCATTATTGTTATGTGTACATTTATAGGGATTCAAATGATTGTTTGATATCAGCACATATTTATCTTACCCCAAAGATTATGGAACCAGGAATCTGACTTCTTTTGGTGTTGCTGAAAAGTGGCTTGCATGGTTGAGATGAATTTTTGATACATTGGTTGTTCAAATACCACCATATGGACTTCTGTTACACTGTCAGGATCCTGTCCTATGAACTCTATCAAAGCATCTACAAAACTGCTGGCTGTTTTCTCAGGAGAGCTACTTAAAGCTGGATACCATGAAAACAAAATCAAAATTAACTAGATCATATGAAAAATACCATGATTTTTTGATAATGCATCATTATGAAAAATTGAATTTCTCATGCCTCAACCATAAAAGACACTAGTTTTCACACTAGGCTTAATCATCAGTGTTCAGTGTTGAAATCGCAGGTACAAGTAATCATATGCCTATTACTGACCAAACTAGGTAATTATGTTCTCTGTTTACAGAGCAGGGAATGTACTGTAGGCATGTGTATTGTGAAAAGAAGAACAACATTCACTACACACTTTAGTAAGATAATTGTGCCAAAACAATCCCTATCTATTATGATAATAAGTTGTTGTAAGACTTATACAAATGTTTTGTAAACACCAAAAAGACCAATTTCAGAAAATGATAAATCCGCAGCCCGATGATAAGTGTAAATCCAAATTCTGCATGTTAATATGTCAAATATAACTTGTGCCATTACAAGTATGAATAGACATGAGCTCATGGCTTCTTTGTCATGATCTCCTATTCAACGTGAAGGAAAATAAAATGAAACCTGTTGCTTTCTTTCAGTCAAATATGCAAGTGTTTCATAAGATAATCACATTCTAATCAACATATTTTTCAATGTCCCAAACTGTCTTTACCAATCAGTAGATACCTAACCCCCCATGAAAGCATTATAACTCCAAGGAATAACAATGAATACTATACTAGTACCTGTGCCCAGTGCAGGAAATGCTACTGATTTTGCACTTTTTTGATTAGCTTTGTCCATTGCCATCAGAAATTTGGATTTCCAACTAGTTTTTTTCTCCTCTGCATTAATATGGATAATCATGTCACATGGCATTAGCGTTCCTGGATCAGTGATGGTCACTGCTATCCCTGTGCTCTTCATCTCCCGTTCTGTTGTAAAACATCATATATTTAACTTAAGAAGTGAGTATTGTCTCTGTATCTTATCTTTTATCCATCCTATTTTTAGATCCATTATTTTGTTACTGTTTGTTTGCAGGTTCTACTGCCATCCCATGAACAGTGAGCCATTCTGAAGCAGTAACCTATCAATACCTGACACCAAACTTCATGTGTCAAACTACTCACAGCAAAAGTGGTAATTATCATTTTCATTTCAGTAATAATTACCATAACTTTAGTATGCAAATACAGTACCTACACCCATCTTTGTATCCCAACAACAAAAGATTCAAAAGAAAAACAATCCCGCCCTCCCTACGATCCATGAGCCATCACGGCAGGAACGCAGAGTGATCTCCCATCCTCTTACCTTTATGGCTGCCGACGAGTGCGGAGGTGTCTGAGCTAAGTGCTTTTCTTACTCCTTCTCTTCGTACTGCCATTGTCGTTTGAGTATATTGTTACTCTATTAGTAGTCTATAAACCCATCTCCCAACTTATATTGTGAAATTAAGTATTGTCATTTGTTTATTTTGACCGTATTCCGGCCGTTTTTTTTCCTCCACGTATTCGAGTGCGTGACTACTTGTCTCGTTGCTCGGATTTGCGTGAAGTTGGAATTTGTTTTCTTGCTGCTTTGTCAGCCGTGTTGTACGGCCGTTTTATTTATGCAGTGCAATCTTGCTGCGTACGATAGGCTTTGTGCTCTCGTTCGTAGTTTTTTTGATTGTTCGAGAACTTCGTTTCCGGCCGTGTTTTTTACTCCGCGTGTTCGAGTGAGTGACTACTTGTCTCGTCACTCGGATTTTCGTGAAGTTGAAATTGTTTTCTTGCTGCTTTGTCGGCCGTTTTGTACGACCGTTTTCTTTTTTTGCAGTACAATCTTGCTGCGTACGGTAGGTTTTATGATCTCGTTCGTAGTTTTTTGATTGTTAGAAAACTTTTTATCCTTGTTTTCATTGTTACAATTTTTTATTGTTTCGATGCTGGATAAAGGTGCCGGGTTTACGTCGGGGGTCAGCGCATGGATGTTCCTATTTCTATAGATAATGGGAACCCCATGATACCTGTCCCATTTGCCGACATTACAGCCAGACCTCACTATGTGAACTTTGTTTGCACATGGAGTCTGCTGCTTAGGCTCCCATGCCTTTCCAGCTAACTTTCCGCCGGAAGAGGGATTCGTCCTCTTCTTCCGGTAAGGGAAGTAAGCTTTTTAAGACCTCCCTCCTGAAGTTCTGAACCAGAGCGTTCCTGCTGGGGGTGCTCTCGTTCCACCGAGCTCCGCCCTTCAGCAGGGGGTGGCTCCCCCTGTCCAGGTGCGTCCTGGAGTAGGGGGGGGGCAGCCCGACCCTGACTCGGCGCAGTCAAGGGTCGAATTGGCCGGTAGCTCTCGATAGGCGGCGGTGTTACCGTCGGAAAGGGACTTCCGGTCGAGGTCTCTGATTCCTTCAGGGACCTTGGCACGCCAGGTGGCGTCGTTGGTGGGGGCCGCTTTGACTCCGGAACTGTGCCTTCGGGTATAGGTTCAGGGGCCACAGACTTTTTGTCAGGATTGTCTGTGGCTACGGGGATTAGTGACACTTGAGTTCACTAATCCTGGTGTCAGCGCGGGGTCTGTTTTCCCACCCTCACAGGCTTCTGGCTCTGGGACTTCCGTCCCAATCCAGATTTCCCAGTGCAGGGTTTCCCAGGGGGTTTTCCTCCAAGGGTTTGGGGCTTCAGGCCAGGAGTCCGGTTTCCGGTCTCCCTTTCCCCCGGGCTCAGGGAGTAGGGGTGCCTGCGGGCACTTATTCCTGGGTCGCCCAGGCCAACCTGCGGATGGTTTTGGGTACCAACAGTTACTCAGCAGTTACGGGCTTAGCCTGTACATGTCTGGGTTTCCACCTGGTGGGAGTGGCGGTTCATCCTGGTCCTTTGGACAGGATGTCCAGCCCCAGACTCAGGCAGGCCATCTTGGCCAGTTCTGGGGTCACTCCCGGCCCGCTGGACCGTTCCCATTCCCTCAGGGGTTTGGGTTTTTACCCCATGGGTCTTCACTCGTGGAACCCATAGGGGTTGGTCTCTCCTCTAGGAGATGTTATAGCAGTGCGGAATCCCCCCAATGTTCTGCTACTTCGGGGGCCTTGTTGGCCGGTCCTATAAAGGTTTGCCAGACCTTAAGGACTTCCGCCTCCAGCGCGGACCCGTCGGTCTCCTGTTCCCAGGGGTCGGCTTCGGGTCTCCGACCCAAGCCTACAGCTACAGCTGTTGGTCGCGCTGCGTCCAAATGCCATAAAGAGGAGTTCCCCTCTGCGGAGATGGCTCCTCTGGCGGCCCCTGTTCCTCCCAAGGGGACTTCGGTCTCTATTGAGGAGGAGATGGACATCGAGGGTGCGGGCTCGGCAGAGGAAGACGATGTCATTCATCTTTCTCCTGGGCCAAGAGGGTTCACAAGGGGAAGATGGCCCTGAGACTGCTGAAGCTGAGGCTCAGCATGTGCTTTCTGGGATGCGGGTCCTCCGGGCCAACATCTCCCGGATTCTCAGGGCGGAGGTTTGCCCACCGCCTCAGCATCGTCGGCGCCTGAATCCACCATCCTTCTGGGTTCCCTGGTGGCTCCTCGGGCTTCCGTTCGCTCAGATCGGTCTCTGCCAGAAGGCAATATCATGTCTTCGGTTCTGGCCACGGCCCGGGCTCCGGTTTTAGAGAAGGACTCCTTCTCTACCCGTGCTCTCGGGTTTGTCGGTCTGCAGCTCAGTGTTGGTGAATTGTCGGAGGCTTCAGCTTCCGACTATGCCACACATGATGGGCAGCTGGCCTCTCAACCAGCACAGCTGGAGTTGAGACAGCTGGCTGCCTGGCCCGGCAAATCAGTGGACCAGGTGGTGCTCGATCCCAAAGAGCACCACAGGATGGAGAATGTTGCACCTCTCCATCCAAGTTCTGTCATACATAGACTTCCTGACAGTTTGTCTATACAGGGTATCCGATTTGCCTGAGTGTCGGTTATCCGAGACAGAACAGCCGACATACAGG